ACTTCCTCATGGACCCACACACCTCCACTTCCTCATGGACCCACAGCATCTCCCCTTCCTCATGGACCCACAGCATCTCCCCTTCCTCATGGACCCACAGCATCTCCCCTTCCTCATGGACCCACAGCATCTCCCCTTCCTCATGGACCCACAGCATCTCCCCTTCCTCATGGACCCACAGCATCTCCCCTTCCTCATGGACCCACAGCATCTCCCCTTCCTCATGGACCCACAGCATCTCCCCTTCCTCATGGACCCACAGCATCTCCCCTTCCTCATGGACCCACAGCATCTCCCCTTCCTCATGGACCCACAGCATCTCCCCTTCCTCATGGACCCACAGCATCTCCCCTTCCTCATGGACCCACAGCATCTCCCCTTCCTCATGGACCCACAGCATCTCCCCTTCCTCATGGACCCACAGCATCTCCCCTTCCTCATGGACCCACACACGTCCACTTCCTCATGGACCCACAGCACCTCCACTTTCTCAATGGTCTATAGCACCTCGGCCAAGCTGACTTCATGCCAACTCATGACACTCACCTGGTGAAGTCAAGGGCTCATTTCCTGCCTGCCCTAGGGACTCACATTAGTAACTGAGCCCTCAGGGTATCTTTAAAATCCTTCTTCAGGGCAGAGTTTAAAGGGCCTCTACTACACTGTACGCAGTTATTTATTTCTTTTATAGACATTGTTTTTTCATTTTATTAATTTGGTGCTATTACTGTGAAGTGCCTGTGTACGTTTTATAGTCTATATAAAACAGTCTGTGGTCTTTAGGAAAAACAAAGCCTACTCAATAAATGCATCAAATAGAAAAAATAGTCTTCAGTTCTGTATTGACTTGTTAATGACATATTCACATTCATTCATTCGTATTGTATTGTATTATGACAAACAGAAGTAGATATGAAAGAAAGTCACAGTAAGAGAAATAGAAATAAGAGATTAGACAACTGTACAACAAAAAATATTCTGCAGGGAGGGACAAGCACATCGAAAAATACATCTACCCAGAGAAAAGCAGACCCAGAGGAAAACAAAGAATTGTAAGAGGAGTGGAGTCTTTGTCTTTCATGGAGTAAAGAGAGAACGTCCGTGTCTCTGGCTTTCTAATAGCGCAGCTGAAGTGTTTTCCAATCACCCTGCCATTCTTCTACAGAAGCCCTCAAATCAGGAAACGGAACCTGCGCAACTGGTTTAATTTGCAGGCGTGGTTTTCCCATATCCCGTTTAGCTTAAGGTAATTTTAAATTTCCAGTTAGCTTCATACAGCAGGGTGTTTTGTTTTTTGTCCCCCATGTTTCAAGTCTGAGGCAATTCTCAATTTAAAGCAGTGGTTCTCAACCTTCTGGCCCTTTAAATACAGCTCCTCATATTGTGACCCAACCATAAAATTATTTTCGTTGCTACTTCATAACTATAATGTTGCTACTGCTATGAATCGTAATGTAAATATCTGATATGCAGGATGGTCTTAGGTGACCCCTGTGAAAGGGTTGTTGGACCACCAAAGGGGTCATGACCCACAGGTTGAGAACCGCTGGTTTAGAGGGTATAAAAATTAAAAGGTTCCTAGGTAAATCTCAACTGTCGTCATATTGGGACATTTTGCATACAGATCTATTTTACGACTCATTGCTCAGGGGCACAATTAAACCAACCTCTACTCACAGGTAGCATTTTTGACAGAATCACAATTTGGGAAATTGATCAGTTGTAAATTCTGCTACCTACAAATATGCTCCCAAAAAGAGTAACTTTCCTTACATATTTTAAAGATAAACACTCGTAACACTCTTTTACTTCTACATGCAGATACACATATTTTTGCATTGTGTAAAAAAAAGCCAAGCACTTACACTTCAGAATTCTTGGGTATAAGTACAATAATACCAAATGGTTTAGTTCTCAGTAAAACTAAGATCTAGGTTCCTCTCTCGGAAAAGCAGACAAGGCTCCATAGTTTCTATTGTGTAACCTTGAAGTCGCCAATAGTTATGCCGGCCTCTGACTATACTTAACAACATGTGATCATCTATTCTCTGAAACTATCCGTAAGTTATTAGTACCCACACAGGTCACTCAAACATGGTAACTCTTCACTTGAAATTACTTATTTCAGGGAAAAATATGAATAAACAAATTTTCTAAATATAGTAGCTAAAAAAAATTAGACAGTGTATTTATTTGCCATACAAGTTCAACATCTAGACATAAACTTTCTCCTGAGCAGTATAATAGACTACATAAATGCTTCCTTTTCAAATTCCCAAAATTACTGAACACAACACACTGAAGGCTATCCTGGAAATAAACTTTTGTCCAATAGTTGAGCTTTTGTTTCATCACAAAAAACATTTTTCTAATTAGTCATAAATGTTAGAAAGACTACTGGATGTGTATAATAAATAACCTCCAAAGAATATATATTTTTCTCAATTACTATAATAATGAAGTTGCCAAAATTTAAATGTACTGTCTGAATTTTAAATTTAGATCATCCAAGCACTGATTCAAAATCATCTTTGCCTCCTAATAATGATAATACCTACTTCTTCTTATCTCAGGAGCTAGATGATAAAAATTAAGAGATTTTTAAAAATAATTTTTTAAAAAGGCCCATAATGATTCCAAAATTTCAGACATGGAAACTTATGACAAGACACTTTGTAATATTTACTGCTGCCTTTTTCTCATAACTGTCTGTGGCTTTTCTAAGCATAACTGCCCAGTCATGTTGCTGCAACAAACAGAGGAATGACATTGAGCTACAGGCCTCCCAGGGCCCCCTCTGCCCCTCCCCTCCTCACCCAGGCTCAAGGCTCTGCTGTTGGCTCTGCAGCAGCCGCACAGCCCTGGGAAAGCCCTGGGACACGGAGACCAAGGCTCGGGGGCTCCACTCGAGGAGCCCTCTCTGTCTGATTCTGAACTCGGTACAATTCAGGGCCCACATGTTCTCCCTCCCCCACTGGAATGAGGGCCAGAAAGAAACTTCTTGTCAGTCAGCACAGCCATCAACAGGCAAATTTCTGAACTTGCTCTGACTAGTAAAAAGAAAACTGATTAAAAAGGTAAAAAAGCCCTAACCGGTTTGGCTCAGTGGATAGAGCGTCAGCCTGTGGACTGAAGGGTCCCAGGTTCAATTCCAGTCAAGGGAATGCACTTTCGTGGCGGGCACATCCCCAGTAGGGAGTGTGAAGGAGGCAGCTAAATCAATGTTTCTAACTCTCCCTCTCTCCCTTCCTCTCTGTAAAAAAATCAATAAAATATATTTTTTTTAAAAAGGAAAAAAAATCCCAGTACTGGCTAAAATAACAGACTTATTTCAACTGTGTTATACAGGCATATCAATCAAGGTATTCTGGGAAAAAAATATAATTCCCCTCACAGTGTCTTTCACTTTCCATTTCATTGGCATTACTGTATTCCACCCTCCACACTGTCCTTCCACCTCGGCTGAGAAACTATTAAAGATGATTTCTATGGGAAAGGAAAATAAGTAATTACTCCTAACAGCTAAAAACGGAAAATTACACCCAGCGTCAGGCTCCTGTCACAAACGAGGCTCTCGTTATGGCATAGGTGTTTTTCCATTTTTCATTTCACAAATTTCTCCAGCCCCACAAATCACCAGTGGGGGGGCTTGTTGAAAGTTCATATTCACCTGCTGCTTCGAACTTGATCAGAATGTTCAGGGGAAGGACAGGACCTCTATTCTTTTAGGTAATGTTTATGAGAGGTTTGAAGAACATTGATCTTGGGACTGTGTTTATCTTAGGAAGTAGTATACGGATTAAAAGTACTGTGAGCTGCCTGGCCCACGTGGCTCAGTGGTTGAGCATCATCCTATGAGCCAGGAGGTAACAAGGGTTCGATTCCCGGCCGGGGCACATGCCTGAGTTGTGGGCTCAATCCCAAATGGGCATAGAGGAGGCAGCAAACCAGTGATTCTCTCTCATCATTGATGTTTCTATCTCTCCCTCCCTTCATAAACAAAGTACCGTGAACTACACATATCAACATAAAATCCAGTTTACTCTGCAGGTTAGCCTTTTAGAGTCCTAAATAATATATAAAAGTAAATAAGCACCCCTAATTGTTAAACCATTATCCTGAGGGTTGGTGTGTCTAAGCCACTATCTTAAGCAGATGAGGTAATTCTAAATTCCAACTGTGTGAAACATTATCATGCTTTCTCTCTAGAGACTTTGTAAAAGGATGATCTTGTCTAGCATGTGCTAGTCAAAGACCACACACACTCGACGGCCATGTCTAACATCCAAAGGCCAATGCGAAATCGGGGAGGCCTTCTAGAGAACAGCACAGAACCAAACAAGTGGATCTGGACACGGGCACTCTTGCCACCGTGCTCTGTCCTTGTGTGGAGCAGAGGACACAGCACGCAGAGGCACTTACTACATGCCTGGGGAGTGAATGAACGAAAACATATGAATGACTGGGATACGCTCAGTGATACAAATAAAAATGCATGGCGTCACATCACTGGGGGATAGAAATGCATTTTTAACAATTTCTATAAATTACCTGGTAGAAAACCTTTACCCGTCTTTAACCTGAATAATTGACACAAATTTATTTTCAAAACAGGAAAGCAAATCCTGAAGGCCCACAAAAGCATGAAAGTAAAGAGAAGGACACAAAAGGAAACAAAGGGTGAGGAGATGCTTCAGGATCACAAGCTCTGAGACGGCAGCTGGGGACAGCAGCACACTACGTCACGCAACTCCTCCCCAGTGCGCGCTCAGAGCTGAAACCACGAACAGCATACTCAAGTGCTCATTCACGAGAACCACCGGACAAGAAGGGAGAACTCAGGGAGAGGAGAGGCAGAAACCCGTGGAGACAATGAGGAGGGCAGGGAGCAGCGTGCAGTTGCATGCAGGGACCTCAGTGAGACGGGGCAGGAGGAGACATTCGTGAGCTCAGGGCCGTGGAAGGGAGACACACCTCCGTCACAGAAACAAACCGCTTACCCTCCGCTTTAGTGGCAGTACCATCTTTAAGCAAATTAAAAAACAAGGGGAGGGGTAACAGGGAACAGTTAGTAACATTTAAAAACTTAAAAAGCAGCATGTTATTAGCTACTAAAAAAGCAAAAGTACAATTTAAAATAAAACTAAAAAGGAAACAAGTTCAACAGCGAAGCAGAGTCGGAAGCAAGTGAAGTGGCTTATCCTGAAATCCGTTAGTCAGGATCATGTGCTTTTGCCTTTGGAAACACAAGAAAGGGCACCCAGGGCAGGTCTCAGTGGAGAGTGGCTGCTGTTTTTCCTTCAGCCAAACCTTCCGTTCTTAAGAGTTCCTTTTTCAAGGAACAAGGTACCCGCAGAAGAGGTTGGGGGAGGACATGGGGCTAAAAACTAAACTGCTAAAGAGTCAACTAAGGGCAGAGGCGAGGAAGCTCAGAGAAGCTAGCTCTAGCAATGCCTACCCAGCTACTCGCAGCAGCCAGGCTGCACATGGTACCTGAATCGAGGCCTACGGACTCCACATCGTCCCTCAGGCGTCTGGACTCTAGAAGTTCGGAAAAGCACCGTCAGCTGCAATGCTACACTCTGCACAGGTGTAACTGTCAGCCTAAGAGTGACGGCAACAACTCCTCAGAAGGGTAGGTTGCCTTTCAGGGTGGCTGTGTTTGTCGTTTTGAACATAAGTTAGAGAGCATCAGGAAAACGGGAGAGAATGAGAAGACTCCAGTCTTAGCGCTGGAAGAGGGAACACTGGGCTGAAAGTTATCAGTGCTTCCAAAGGTCAGTCCTGCATCATCAGCCAAAAGGCCAGGGAGCTTCTCCTGGCAGCGAGGGAAGTCTATGTTACAATAGAGTCCATGTTACAACATCCAGTGTGAACAGAAAACAGAGGCTCCTGAGGACTCTAAATGGTTTTTACTCAGGTTTTCTAGCAATGAAACAAATGTACTTGAAACACTGGTAAGCACTTCAAACACTGAATTGAACTGAACATAACGCCTTCACTTCACCGCAGGAGAGGGAGAGGGAGTTCTGCCTTCCCTCTCGCTGTGCCTGCATGTCAGCATACTGTCACAGAGCCTCCTGAGTAGGCCACACGGCAGGACAGAGGCGCTCCGATGGGTTTCTTCCCGGTCTAAACGTATATCCACCCAGGTATCTATCCGCCCAGGTATAGGCATTTCCGTAGAGAGCAAAAGGCTGGTTTAGCAAACATTCCAAGCGCATCTACCTTTCAAACTAATCATGTTCCTATCATAACTGCAGTTTCTTTCTCTTCTGTATGACTCCGTCACATACTGAGCTGGGCGGCTATGACTGCAGCTAATTGAAGGGCCCAGGAAGACGCGGGCCCCATGGCTGCTCCAGGTTCCCGATGAGTGGCAGGCCCGGGGTCTCCGCTTGGTGCTCTCTCACTGTGCTCCCATGTACACAACACTTTTAGGACATTAACTTTAGGACTGATTTTGGAATATGTAAACCACGTAATTCAGTCTCCAGGTTTCAAAAAGTTTAAATTGTATTAATTTCCAAAGAATCCAAAATCAAACTGATCAGCTAAGCCCCCAGATTTTGGCTCTGGATGACTTCACTCGCACAAAAATAAAATTAAAGAAGCCCTCAGCCTATGGAGAGCAGGTGCTGTGTCCGCTGAGACACTGCCCCTCCGTCACTCACTCACTCTCTGGAGAATTATTATTTTTTTACTCTTTCGGGCTGTCATTAGAGTAAGTGCATGCTCCTCCCACAGTGACACAGGAGACAACGCTCTTCTGCACAGCATGGTGACACTGGCTAACAAGTCCACCCCACTCCTCAAAGGCCCCCTCCCGCCGTCACCCCTCTCCCCACCCCCACCCCCAGCCTTTCCCACTCCCAGTCCAACTACATTTTCAAATTAGAAAATATCTAAGTACAGTGACTATCTTTGGTGAATTCCTCACTAGACCCTGCCTGCTCTGCTCCCACCAAAGTCAGGAAGGGAGGAAACCCAGCTTTGGCGATACGGAAGGGAGCCGCGTGGGTGCCACTCCGAGGAAGGGGAGCTGAAGGCAGGCCGTGCTCAGTGCCACACACCACGTGAGCACCAGCTACCTGCTCATCACTAACAAGCAGGATGCGCCAGAGAAAGGGGACGCCTGACGGAAGGGAGCTGCTAACCTGCAATGGGCCAGTCACTCATCTCACACAGCAGCCCTGCGACAGTGGCAAGCTCCTCAGGGACTGCTCTTGGAATGAGCTAAGTGAGCCAGAGCAGAGGCAAGTGTCACCTCAAGGAGCAGACGGGGAGGTGGCGGAGATCCGGTTACCTAAGGATGCGTACGAGCCCGGAGGCAAGGCCGCCGCGGAGCTGAAGGGCGCGGAGCTGGAAGCCGAGGCTTTGGACTTGGCACTGGCCGCTGCATTCACATCGATGTCACTCCGGGATCGCTGAAGGGACCCAGTCGTTGACCCAGATTTGGTGCTGACAGTAGAAGCTGTGGTGGTAACGAAAGAAACATTAGCAAGAACCACACTAGACTTGTACACAGATATTGTTAAACTAATTTTGCTTTTCTTTACAGCAAATATCGTTTTAACAAAGGCTGGACACAGCACTGACCAACACTTTCTCCTGGTCCCTGAAGACAGTTCAGTGCATGATGAGGAAAGAGAAGGGACTGCAACTACATGCACTATTGCATCTGTCTTCTTGCAATCGCAGACTACAATAAAGCCCACAGAGATGGACCACATTTCTGCTTAGTACGAGAAGTGAAACAAAAAGTTGTTCACATCTGGCCAGTTTCTTCACAATGTGGCAAAAGTGTGCTCTTACCTAGTGGCCCGCCCCCTTGGAGAACCCCTGCCCGCTCCCGCCCGCCCAAGGCCGCGGGGCTGCCGCTGCCCTAAGCACCCGTGGTCTTTGCTCCTGACCCGGTGGCCAGAGTGGAGGAGCCGCACTGCGTGTGGCAGGATCCACATGCTGGGGGGACATGTGTGAGGAAAGGTCAGAGCTTAATTTCTGCCTGAAGAAGCTGTCCTCACAGCTCACGGCCCTGGAGAAGGGGAGCTCTGCTGGGGAGCGCACACTGCAGACCAGCCGAGGCCGAGGCTGGGGCTGGGGTTGAAGCTGAGGCTGGGGCCGGGGCAAGGGCTGGTGCAGGGGATAGGGGCTGGGACTGGGGCCAAGGCAGGGGCTGGGCCAGGGCAGGGGCCGAAGCTGGGGCTGTTTTTTTTTTTCCATGCGGCCCTGACCAAGGTGAGTCACAGCCTCCGCAATGCCCAGCCCATCTGCTTACCTCTAGAGGCGCTACTTCCAGTGGAACTTCTTTTGGCAGAGAGCGGCCGACTGGAAATAAAGTAGACACCTGCTTATTTTCATTAATACAAGTACAATCAATAACTGGAAATTATGATAATGAAGAATGATTTCGGAGTCTGCAGAATTTCTCAGGCAAGTTGGCCCACAATCTTATAAACGCCCCGTTTGAGAAAGCTTTACCATTCCAATGTGGACTATCTTGCAAACACACAGAGAGCAGTCCCACCTAGAGACAGATGCTGAAACACAGAGTAAAGGTGACATGACATTCAGCCTCAGGTTCAGAACGCCCTCCCTTTACAAGCCTGTCCTGCGGTTATAACTGCTGAGCTCTCAGAAGACACTAAACTCTACTACTGAACCATCACATAAATGTAACTAAAATCGACGTATGGCAAAGGCCAAGGCCACTATTTCTTACCCTTCCCATGGCGTCTTACCTCGTACCAGAGCCACCTGAAGGGGGACTTATAACAGGCCTGTATATGTAAAAACACAGCTAGAATGTGTGTTTTCATGCAGCAGACTTTAAACATAAAATCTCACACGAATGAACCTTACTTCAGACTCTCTTGAGAGCTAGAAGACGAGCGATCGGATTGCGGCAAAGACACGATGCTGTCCGAGTTCTTCAAGTGGGACTGCAGGGCCTTCTGGTAGGAGGACTCCAGCGTGTGGTACAAGTGCTCCGCTTCTCTGCTGAAGTGACTGTGGAACCCCCAGTAGCACCTCGGGAAAACACAGCTCCCCGTTACCGTGGGGGCGCAGGAGCTTCGCTGAGCTCTGCATCGTGCCCGACGGGACACGTCCCAGGACCAGCAGCCTGGTTCCCTGCCCCCGGAGCCTGGGTACGGAAGACTCCCTGAACAAAGGAGGCGGACCGCACAACGTGCTGGCGTGTTGACACTGGGCAGGAACTTCTCTGAATCTCAGTCTCATTACAAAATGGAAATTAAAGAGGCTCACTTGCAAGAACACTGGGGAGCCTTAAGGGAGAGGGAGCTGAAACATGGAGAACTATACCTAGAACCTGAGGGAGTCACAAATGGCAGTTTTTGTTGTTTTGTTAATCCTCACTGGAGGATTTTTTTTTCCATTGATTTTTGGAGAGTGGAAGGGAGAGAGAGAGAGAGAGAGAGAGGTAGAGAGATAGAGATAGAGATAAAGAGATAAGAGATAAGAGGTAAGAGATAGAGAGAAAGAAAGAGAAATAAACATGGAAGTGAGACATATTTTTGACGGGTTGCCTCGTGCAAGCACCCAGAATGGCAGGAGGGATCGAACCTGTGACCCAGGTACATGCCCTTGACCAGGAATTGAACCTGAAAACCTTTGATGCACAGGCTGGCGCTCTAACCATTTAGAGACACTGCCAGGACTAATGGTAGTTTTTATCAATGTAATTTGACACTCATTGATTTGGAGTATTTAAAAATTGCCCTAATGTGTACCAAAAAAAGGAAAGATGTTCAGAACTACTTAAAATGATAACTAAAGAACTACAATGAATTGGGGAAGGGGAATAATACAAGGATAAAAAGAGCTTAAGTAGGTCATTAACAAATACCTTCTAATAGTTTTTACCAGCTATTAATTATGTCAGTTACTTTGGTAGGAACCACCCACCAAGATGAGCTTGTGGTGAGCACTTCACTGTCATAGTGAGGTCCTCCAAAAACTCAGAAACCAGAGAAATAGAATTTATCTGAGAGAACAAAGAGCAGGAAGTAATTGATCAGGACGTATTAATGCAGCTAAGTAAAATAACCATACTCCATGCTTATAAGAATAGGGTTGTTGCTATTTTTTAATGTATTTTTATTGATTTCAGAGAGGAAGGTTGAGGGAGAGAGCAACATCAATGATGAGAGAGCATCATTGATTGGCTGCCTGCTGCACGCCTCCCACTGGGGATCGAGCCCACAACCTGGGCATGTGCCCTTGCCTGGAATCGAACCCGGGACCCTTCAGTCTGCAGGCCAATCCTCTATCTACTGAGCCAAACCAGTTAGGGCAAGAATAGGTTTTAACCTGTGTCAAGGAGAAAAGCTGATCAACCACAAAAGCACAGAAAAAACTGCCACAGGCAAGGCTGGCAGTGCTCATCTATGCGCTCCTGTGCCTGAGAAAGACTTAGCATGAAACTTCTGGTGTTCACAGTCACAGTGCAAAACTACTCCTGGGGAGTACTGGACGTCCGGGGCCATAGCCTTGTGAACGGAGAGGAACTGCCTCAAACTTGCAGCAGCAAGTCATCACCGGGACAATCCTGAGCCTCCGCTACCCCTCCCCTAACTGTGACGCACACCCCCAAACACTACCTGACGCTCCTGTGACTGACCGCGGGAGAGAAGTCATTGTGGACTCTGGCCTGGCGTCAGCAGGGCTCACTGAAGGAGCCAGAGAATACCCGAGCGCAGGAAAAGGTGGTGTACAAATACACACTTACTTTCTGGCTTCTATCCTGGCTTCAGAGTCGGCGTCATGTATTCCCTTCTTTATCGTTTCGGCTAATACTGATATGTGCCTGGACATTTAGAAAAGAAAGCAGCAACCATTAATAACGTATGTGCTGTGCAGATGAAAACAAGTGTGAGACGTAACTTCAAATTGGCCACATGGGACGTAGAGCCTTTGTGCCGAGTCCAGTCACAATACAGCTTCCGCATCGGAGTGTCCTGGGGGCCGGGGTCTGCCCCAGTGCCCACCCCCACCCAAGCACCCTGATAACTGTACACTCTGGTGTGCTTTTTTTTTTAAGTTAAAGCTGATTTTTTTCAGGCCATACTTATTTAGCTCAATCTTTTATGAACCAAAACAAAATAATCCCATTTTTCCATAGTCAGACCTAGTTTCTATGGAAATTTGTAACAAGATAATTAAAATCTTATTACTAAAGAGGCTATCTGCATCACATTTCTGTATTTAAAGAGAATGTTTTTTCAAGTTCCACTATGTATCATGAACAATTTTAAAATTATGTAACCATTTTATAGATAGGTATTCTCTTTAGTTATGTTCTACTCTAGGTGAGAAGAAATCATTAAACTGTCTCATTGACATTTAACAAAGTTTTAAAAAAAGGGAAAAGCTGGAATGAATAGTTTCACAGAACAAAGAGCAGTTACCAATTTTACCAGCCCATTCACAGTCTTTCCCTCACTCCTTCATTCATTCAGTATTTAGTGACAAACACAGAGTTGGAAGGTGAATGAATACATGAGGCTACATCTGAGGTCTTCATGCTTTTCTATTCTCTTCACTTGTCCCCACATTAAATCCTCATTCCACTTTCCTCTAAATTCCAAAGCTGCCACCAAATAAAGAGGATATACTAGTACTACTATGAGATTAAAAACCAAGAAAGTATTGAAAAAGAATGTGAGACTATCTTCTAGATGCAAAGTATGTCCAGGTGAAATGTGCCCCAGGGACCACTGCAGCATAAATGGGCCTCCCAGGAGCACTCAACTTATTAAAATCCCACTCTAATAAGTTTAATATGCTATGAAGGCCTTCACAAATTATACGATATGTCATTAAAAATGGGTGACACAAAAATCAGCATTTATTTCTCCAAATTTAACTCAGAAATAACAAAAAATGACTCAAAATTCTGAGGCAGGCTTCTATTCTTCAGGAATTGTCATAATCCCAGTTTTCATTATGATGATGTGAAACTTACCAAACACCAATCTGAATAAAGAGACTTTCTGATCTACCCAGGCTGCTCGGAACACCTGAGCCACAGGAGGCCAGCTGCAGGACCAGTCAGCGAAGGGGCAGCCGGGCTGTGTGGCTGCCACACTGCACATCTGCCCACACCTCTAGACACACTAATCCTCCAGTCAGTGAAGTTCACTCCAGGCTATTATGTGCCTCAGAGCAGTAGAAATAACAGATGCAGTCATGAGAACAAATGCTTAGATTCCTTCATTGCTGATAGAAAGTGGACCACTCATTGAGTCATTAAATCTCAAGATTCAATTCAGAGGAAAAAAAACAGCAAATTGGATGCTCACCGTTCCAGTGAATGTGTTTGCCATTCTTGTAAAAGTAAATCTAAAAATTCAAAACAGCGTCTGAAAATTGTAAAGAAAAAATATGTAACTTAGTGATTTGTATGTTAGTAAAAATAAAAGCTTTTTTCTTAAATGACCCAACACTACTTTTTTTTTATATTTTATTGATTTTTTACAGAGAGGAAGGGAGAGAGATAGAGAGCTAGAAACATCGATGAGAGAGAAACATCGATCAGCTGCCTCCTGCACATCTCCTACTGGGGATGTGCCCGAAACCCAGGTACATGCCCTTGACCGGAATCGAATCTGGGACCCTTCAGTCCGCAGGCCAATGCTCCATCCACTGAGCCAAACCGGTTTCGGCCCAACACTACTTTTTATAATTGATAAGTGACTTCTAATTTTTATGATTTAAAAAATGGAACATAAAGATGGAATCAGAATTAACAAAGTCAAAGAAAATTTAAAAAATGAAGCATCTATGGTGGTCAAGAGAAAAATCAGAGCTAGCAACAGGGACAGGATGCAAACATTCCCCCCAGGAACATCACCCACAGGGTCATAGTTCTCAAGTGTTTATTCTACCTCAAACAACACATTAATACAGACGCAAACATGCACAAAGGAGCAACATATATTACAGAATCAGGCAATTGGTCTTTGCATTAATTTCACAGAATGCCTTGCACACAAAAAAAGTAAAAAACGCCCATAAGATGTGCCCATAAGATGGATATGGGGCCACCTCATGCTTAAAAGGATCCCCTATCCATGGAGCCCTGGCAGGACCAACATGACACCCCAGGAAAGGCGGGAACAGCAGGCAGCTGACGTGACTGGGTGGAAGCCTGGAGGGGAGGGCTCTTTCACTGGCTAGAATCAAGACACCGCCCTGCAGTGTCTTTGAAAAACAAAAAGTGTTTGACAAATTTTCCTGTTAAGAAGGTTCTAGGCAGTGCTTAAAATCCCTTTTTTCTAGCTACTCAGCCATTTTCCTCTCCTCAATCTTTCAATAGCCTTTCTCCTTCAGCCTTTTCACGTCGGTGATATTTCTCAGTCTGATCTGTGCACTGGAACATTCCTGTCTCCTCTCCTTTGGATGACATCACCACTTTGGGTGAAGGCCAGGGTAGCCATCTTTGTGGGAAGAAATCTTAATGGTTTTAGGAACCCATTCGAGGAAACAGGTCAGAAGGTGAACTTTCTCGAATGACCCGACTTTCCTTCCCATGATCTTCCTAATTCAAAACCTCATAATCCATACAATTAACCACTCAGTAAATCTCTAACAAGCCCTTGCCCTCTGCTAGATGCTAGAGATAGGATGGTAACTACGACACAATCCAGGGAGCTCGACACACAAGAAAGGGTTACCATGTGCCTAGAGCACCAGGGGCTCTAAAGCACACAGGAGAGATATTCACCCCAATCCTAGGGGTGGTAACATGGGGAGTTTGGGGGTTTGCAAGCAAACTTTCTCCAAGGAAACACACTGGAGTTATCTCTTAGTGCAAACAGCCATCTTTAGTACTAATTCTTGTCTTAAGTATTAATTAAAAATACACCTGTAATTAGGTTTTGTTTTCAACTTTTTAGACTTACGCAAACACGGAAGTCTATCTATGTTGGCATTATTTACCCACATCACCAATTAACACATCAGGTTAGAACTTGTCCCTTCTCCACCTGCTCATCATTCAAAAAGGCAGCTCACGTTTCCACTTCCTGCGAAGCTCCTGGAGCATGCTATCTGCTGGTTTTGATCACGCTCTCTGAGTGCTGTAACTCACTCTTACGCTGCTTTGTGTACTGGTTTTAATATCTCTAATGATAAACTTCTGAAGGCAGGGAAGTGGTGCAATGCATTTCTTAGCAATTCTAGAGAGCGAAGGTAGGTACAGGTTACACTGCCCCCTCTGGCCCTCTATGCCTTTCTACAGGCAGAGCGACAGCCAGGTGGTCCCATTCCTTCCAGCACTAAGACATGTGATTCTGACGGTACTTGCTCTGACTGAATACAGAACAGCAATCTGGGAGTGGCTCAGAAATTGATTGGGGGGGGGGGGGCATTCCTACTGTCAAAGGCTTGTAGTTTGCTACTCACATTTTGCAGCAGAGACCAGAACTGCTAACTGCTCCGGAATGAGTGGTGCTAACCCAACATGCATACACTGGGGCCCTAATCCCCAAACATGGTATTTGGAGATGGAGCCTTCCGGAGGTAATGCAGTGAGTGAGGCTCTCGGGATGG